AAATGCGGAAAAAAATCTGCTTGCTCTCCGTCTCACAATCAGAGACCATAACCAATCCTATACAAAAAGCGTGAAACAACGGTCGGTAATGGCCACAGAGACAAAACATTATTTTCAACCTGAAATAAGCTTGTGTTAAGTTCAGTGCCAAGTTAATTTACTTGACTTTATTTTTTCACAAGAATATAAATAAAGCATTTATTCTTTTGGAAGGACCCTCGTATTTCCACCGATGTAGGTAAAAAAATATCAACTTAATTTCCATCTTTGATAGAATCGTAGAAACCAGTTTTTCGAACTGTTAGGTGTTGCGTATTCCGTCGTGGGTATAATAGATTAGGAGTTGCAGTAGATCGTTTATCTCGTCGAAGTATGTATGAGGCATTCTTGTTCCAAATGAGTACCTACTTCCCGTTGCTTTTCTATAATAAAATGCCAACCAGCTTACTTATCTCCCATCACTTGAAAGCTTATATCGAGAAACGCTCTTAGCAAGTTATTAAAAGTAGAAATTCTGTAGTAGTTAAAAGCATGCAATTCAGTTAGAATGTAGCCTGTTCTCCAATGTATCATGAATTACTCTTTTATATACACAAGTCGTTCTTGTAAGCATTTGTGAAATACCAAGCGTCCAGATAGGGCTAGATGTTGGTAAACAGCAGTAAGAGAAATAATGAGTTTATTATGCCATACCCCCATTTTAAATGTTTATCGTAAATAAATTTGTGGAATAAGTTTTCATAGATACAAAATAATTGACTGCAAAAAGCAAATATTCTCAATTCCTTGTCAAGAAACACAAGTGTGTTGTAAAGCTTTACACCACTACACTGATTAACATACTTAACATGCATGATCGAAATACAGGTTAAAAATATGCACCTTAAAATTGGTAAAAAATACTCCATAGAAAGTTTTTTTTAAAACTTCCGTATACATTCTCAGAATGGCTGAATGGAATTTGAGCGACATTTATCTACATATTTTTTTAATTTTCGTAAAAAGATCTGGAAAGTCGAAAGTTGTTCATCTAGTCATATTTCAATCATTATAACAATCACTCCCATATTCAGCGGGCGGTTCTTGGGTCTAATTTGAAAAAAAGCTTCACAACAGCATCTTGACTTTCGAGATTTAGAGTGATACAGATTTTGAAAAAAATCATATTTTCTAATATACCGTTTTAGATATTTTAATGATATTTGGTTAAAGACTGTCAAGAATTAATAGCCTTTCCTAAGGTACAAAAAAACTGTTTATTTCTTCCAGTGGTGATTTTATTTGAAATACTTTTATAGAAAAATATGGTACGCCACAATATTATCTCACCAAAAAAATATTTTTGTAATTCTCATTCACTTCGACTTTCTTACTGCTGTAAAAGAAAATCAAGAAGGGCAAAGCTTTAGAAATCAATCAGGATTAGAAAAATGACTTGAAAAATATTTACCACCCTGTAACTAAAAATTTAAGACATTTTGGACATACATTCAAAACGAACCCTAGAATCGCCCATTATTTATTCTATCTTACCCTACCCTGAAACCTACACGGACCACCCTGTATGTGCGCAAGATTTATGCCGAGCAGCGCCAGAGGTTTTTATAACTAATGTCAACAGGCTATAAATTAAAAAATCTCAAGTGATGCGAAAGTGAAGAATAGTGGTAGTAGTAGTAGTAGTAAAGGAATTATAGCACTTTTACTACCTAATAAAACTGACCTGGGACAGTGCACCGGCTTCAAGAATGGACAAAAAAAACAGCAAATTGCTTTACTTCTATTGTGAACTTAACAACTTCCTTTTATATGGTAAATTATGTATGGTGATTGTTTTACTCGTAATACGGGCATAATCAATTATAATTTAGTTTCCTGATAGCAGTTTTGTGAGTTATGATTTTGCTGGTATGCTTTGTTGGAGTTCCTAATATTGTTTTTGTGGTAAGGTCATGGTTTTATTGTAATTCAGACGTTTATTTTTAAGGTTGACCTTTCTCATTTTTCATTACGGCTTATGAGTTTTCTAAGCATGCAATTACGACGTTTTAGACATGAGTCGGTTTTAATTATGTATGCTGAAGTGGATGAAATGGAAATACTTCGAATTATATCTGAATTTGAAATCTGGCGTTGACCCATGTCTCCAAGCTTTGTATGTGTATTCTCAATTGCGAGAGCAACTAAAGGATTTTTTTGTATAAGCAAAAATTCTAAAATGTCGGGAATAAAAAAGTAGTCAGATTTCTTTATTTTCGAGGCTTGGACCTCCTACTTCCTTAATTCTTAATATTTCATTCATCTGAATTTTTTATTGGATTGGAATCATCAAAAAGTCACGGTAAGATTTATGTTGGGATTTCGAAAAAATGAGACGGTACTTTAGAATTAAGAAAGGCCAATAGTTACTATTTTTTATTACTGTATGAGAGCCGATGTTTTTCGTGATTGCTAAACTGGGATATTTGTGATCTGGTGTCCAGCAAGCACTACCAGCCACATGACAGCAAGATAGACAAACCGACGGAAATCAGCAATTTTTGTGACGATTCTAGATGCATGGATACATTATGAAAATTGTAATATATATATTAAGTAATTAGTTTTTACTTCACCGCATCTTGGCACTGAAAGTACTAGTCATAAAACGCCAAATCCGATCAATACACTATCGGTATATACACGAGGTATTCTCAAGAATTTTCTGGACAAAAAAAACTGATATGGGCCGTTGGATTGTCTCGATACAAAATGCAGAAGTGTGCGCTTAAAGATGAGATCGTGCATACTGTCGCGTAGCCGTAAAAATGTGAAAACATTCTCGGTCTGACCATAACTACATATACATATTAGCGAATGTCATGATTATTTATATACGTTTTTCATCCTCCATGTACTTTTGATTTTCTCGCCAGAACGACAAGGGAAACACCAGAAACATGGACGATCGAAGGCAGTTAGCTCTTAAAATTTGCACATTTATCTTAGTTTTGTTGTATAATAATGGTAATAACTGTCACCCTCGTGCTTCTAATTTTGTTTTTTGGTTAATACATTTTCACAGAATTGTCTCTTGCCGATGACCGGTCTCCTATGAAAAAATTTCCATGAACACACATGACCCGATCCTGTACGATCGAGGTCCCCATACTGTTAGATTTTGGTCCGAATATGCGGACAAATGCATATGACGACAAATTTTAGGATACCGATATGACAAGACACTGTTTTAATACTTTTCCCTGTTAGCAAAAATAGACTGTAGTAGTCGTGGAAGCGACAGTCCCAGAATTTCGGGTAACACCATAAAAGTTCAAATGCTGTATGTCTAACAAAAAGCGGTCCATGACACCCTCTGTCTACACTTCATCAAATCAGCTAAGCTCTAAATCCTAAAACAAATACCCGACTGCAGTCGCTCCGATCTTAAATCCAGTATATCGATCAAACCTACACGCATCTGCCTCTACAGTCGCAACACCGCGTCGGTCGCCGACCTACACGCAGCAAATAACGCCTAGCCGGAATAAAATCCGTATTTTGAATGCTCGCGCCATCTAGCGGACACGCAAGGCCCCGCCGCCTTCGGCCGCCTAAGCGGCAGCGTGCCGGGAACATCAACAAAAACAAGTGTAAAGTTCACGGTTCGGGGGAACTTGACGCAGATTTGTATTTCATTTCTACATGCAGTTTTGATTCAAGATTGCGTTGTTGTGTTGTTGTTTTGACCGTTATCAGATCGGGTAATTGATGAACTTATTGTGTGCGTGAATACAAATGCAGTGTTGCCAAATTTGTATACAGTATCAGAGGGTTTAAGGAAACTCAAATGAAACAGGCAAATTTAACACTTCATAGCATTTTGAGACAAGGTTGTGTTTTATTTGACACTGGTGTAAGGATTATAAATTCAAATAAATAAAAAGGACAGGGTGCATCATATTAATTCCTATACAATGCAAAATGTATAATTTAACTGATTTTATATTTTCTTGATTTCTGATTTTTTATATATCATTTCTTTCTCAAATAGAAATCAATGGAATAAAATATGTCTCAGACATTTTATATAATAAGTTTGTCTAATTTACTTTTTGATAATGCAACACAATTTTTAAATCCTTTATTTAATTTCCATAGAAAAGTGGTTTAGTTTCCCGGACACCTATATGTCTGCACTGTTAAACAGATATCTATTTATATTCTATCCCAAACTTCACAATACATCCACGCTTCTCAGTTTATTGAACCCTTACAGGTAACAAAAACCATTACAAATTTGAGGTAACAAGGGTTTAGAGAAGAGGGCCCTTTTGATGGGGTGGCTAGGATTTTATGACTTAAAATCATGTCAACACTTCAGTGATTTAACTAGATTTTATTTTTATCATCAATAAAGATTTGTTTCAATGTAAATATTCTATGGGATACATTACTAAACATGTGAATTATTGGGGATCATTCCAATAATAGACCATGTTTTAAGTGTATGGAAAAGATTACTTTTTTTTGCTTCAAATTTAATCTCCTTAATAATCCATGTATCATATAGGAACTTACAAGAAACGTCAGCCTAGTGCAAGTAATGGCTAATTTTTTAAAATGCAAGGTCCTCTTGGAAAGAACGTTACATTTAGGGATGTTTATCTCTAATTATCTGTTGATGTAAAAACTTGAAAGAAGATTAAAAAATTTTAAGATGTTGATCTGTGAGAAAATTGCAGGCACAAAACGCTGCAATAATTCTAAAAATTGTTTTAGTTTTAATTATTATATTTTGACCTCCATGGACCATAGAATGTGAAATCATCCCTGAGTTTTGAACTTGTGCGAAGATACACGTTGATATCATGACGAATTCAAACATTATTATATCCCTTCTGTAACGTAGCTTATGGCTTATTCTTCTATATAAATAGATTATGTGAAACGGGACCAAGAACTGATCCGTGTGGAACACCGAACATTTATCATTATTAACAATACTGATTAGTAATTACCTGGAGGTGGATAGGGCGTAGAAGGGACGGGTTCGGGGGCATAGTTCCCGAGACCGTACCCCCGATCGTGGTGAAAGGAGGCGGTCTCTGCGACCATGGCGGCGGCTGCTGCTGCCCGCCCCCGGTCGTCGGCGGGCAGGTACGGTACTGCTTGGTGGGCAGCGTCCACGTGGTGCCTGGACGCCGCCATCGAGTACGGGGAGTAGTTGCACCAGTTGCCCGAGAAGCTCTGGTGGCAGGAGACAGCCGGATCGCTCGGACCCGCTGGCACGCCGCTGGAAGACGAATGGAAAAATTAGAAAAAAGCAACTAGTTTTTAAGTACTGTTGATTTGAAGAGAACCCCTATCGTTCGATACCGACATCGTAGCCAATACCATACCGCGGTAATCAGCTGGCTTGGGACACCTTGTAAAGGTCGCACCCCAGAAGGAATTCACTTCACAATCTACTCACTCGCAAAATATTTGGCGTTTGTATTTAGTTTCTTTTTGTTTATTTTGTGTAACATGAGTTTTTGGGGAACAAATATACGATTCCACAAACATTGGTACCAAATATTCTGCAAGTGCGAGGAGCTACAGCAATATACCGGCAGCATGCTAGCCAGCAGAGAATGTTTGTGATTTGAACGCATCTCGGAAGCTCGAGTCAGCTATTTGGAGTTATAGTGACACAAATATTTTTTGTGAACAAATAAAAATTATATTTGCTTACGCATAAAAAATGTAGATGATTCTAACAGAAGGATTTAAATATTAACTTCAGCATTGTGCGATCATGTAGCAGAGGTATAAAAATATTTTTTTTTGCCTAAATTGCCTAAATAGGTGGCCCAGATGTCACACAAGACGGTGACTAATAATATGATACGATTTTATGTACTGCTTTATAACCAAAGTACGTTAAAACAGCATTGTCAGTTATTTATTTAAACGCTTATGTTCAAAAATTAATGATAATTATTTAAATGGGTACAAGCTTTTTTCAAGTTGAGGGATACTGTAGCTATGAATTGTTTTTTCAGCAAAAATGATTGCAGCTTCTAACAACGTATTTATAAATTAATTATGGTGCAATCTGCAAAATTACTATATCGCCACTGTTATCTAAGATCGATATTTATTTTTTTTTAATTTATGAATTTTGTAAGCAATAAATAAGGATGTTCCCTAATATTAAGCTTCAAAAGAAATCCAATCTGAATAGGTGGTAACAGCATAGGAATAGAATCCAATGTAAATACATTCATTATCTTAATCTTATTTGTACTAGTACACATAATGCCTCTGGTCTAAAACAAAATCAAGCAATTCTTGAAATTGGGCAATATTGGTTATTGTGTAAAAATGATGAAATCAAGGTTGTAATAATTCTACACAGATGACCTTGAATCATCACTACAATAACACTAGCCATAAAATATCAACTCTTGCAAATCAAGCATAACCACAGTTTAATCAAATTATTTCGGAATAATCAGGAGGTCAACCTGTAATCATATCAAATGTGCACTGCTGCTTCGTGTAGGCAAAATGAAGAGAATTTTAAACTAAAATCTTTTATACCACCTATTTTTCGTTTTCCTATAAACTGTGTTTGCTTCCTTTTAAGAGTTTAATTGCTTGAAAATATATAGTTTCCTATTTTCCAGCATTATTGAAATAAGCCTTTAATTGCAATGTAAACACGAATAAAGAAATGTGTATTAGAATATTTTTCCTATACTTGAGTGAATTTGCTGTCCTCTAAAAATAATTGTTTATATATAGCCACTGGATGCGTTTTCAATAAAATATTAGAAGCAAAATTACAAAATTCATAGGATACTATTTCTAATATGCAGTCGGATTATTTTAAATACCTTATATTGTGAATAATTGTTTTACATAATGCATTTATTATAATAATTATAATGACTAATAGGTCTACCGTAAATGTTTTCAAAAATGGGATTACACATTATGGGATCATAAAATGTTTTAACAGTGCTAAATATTTTTGATTCGAAAGTAAATGTGTTTATGCTGGCTAGAGCTTCTCATAATGCTTAATTATATACTAATGAACCTTCATTTTTTATAGTTCTGACATCTGAGCCACACATTGAGTAATGAATAGTAAAAGTAATCTTTACCTGTACTTGTACTCGGGAGTGCCTCCAGTACCGGCTGTCGCGGCAGGGTTCCAGACGTCGGGCGGTTTTCGTCCATCTCGATTGGCACCAGGAACCCCGGCTGCTAGAGTGTAGTATGTGGGTGCCGAATTGTACTGGTGATGGTTCAGTCCTACAGGGGGCTCGAACGCCGTTTGGTGCGAGTCCGATGGGGAGTAGGACCACGGCTGCCCGTGTCCATGCCGGATCACCCCGTCGCTGCCGCAGTCTCCGTAGCCCCCCGAGGACCCGGTCAGCCTCTTGGCGGGGATGTGCAGAGGCCCAGCAGCTGCCGCAGAACCGCTGTTGCTGGTCACGCTGGCCGGCGAAGAGCTGGAGGTGGCCGAAGTGGTGACTGCCGCAGCACCTGGGGGGCTCGTCATACCGCCCCCAGTGCTGCTGATGGGGGTCGCAGCACTCTGGGGCGCAGGCGGGGGGCTCTCCTCGTACAGGCTGCCGTTCATCATGGACCACCAGGTCACCCCGGCGGAAGAACCCGCTCCGGCGGTGGCTGGCGATGAGCCCGGGGGGTGCACATGGTCGTACAGGGTCGGAGCGGCACACGCCACGGGGTCCGCGATGGTGAGGATTATGGTGGTGGTGAGAAGACGACACGCAGGGAACAATCACCACAGCATCGGAGGGCGACAACGTCACGTCCGAAATGACGACACGTTTCAATTGCACCACCACGGCGAAGTCCAGGTGAATATGGAAGAAAACAGAAAAACGCACAGTTAGGTAAACGGCCACAGTCTCACAAAGATCTTCTATTGGAGTCTCCTCTGACAGTTCCGTCTCATTAGAACACAACAACCTCTGAATATCATCACCTGCTCAGTTTACAAATGATCGCGATTATATAAAAAAAATCCCGGCGCGACTTCAGTCACTTGTTAATTCTTCGTCGCGATCGCGCGGACGTGCGTTGACAGAGCGCGGTCGTGTATATTATGTGTGTGCTTTCGCTTGTGCCGTTGCGGCCGCTGTGTCTCATGTGTTGGGGTTTCGAGCACACACTGAAGCGGCGTGTGTCGAGCGGCGACGGTCGGACCGAGCCGCGCGGCGCACCGCAGCGCTATCTAGCGGCCGAAGCGCAAACCCGACCGAGGGATGCATACGATTCGCGTGAGACACACGTCCGCGTTCAACGGAAAAGCTAGGACGTGCGTTGAGAAGCAGCGCGGATCGCGTTTCGTTGGTTTTGGGCCCGAGTTAAGCGATGTGAAGGCGAACGGGGATAAATTGCCGGGGTTCTCATTGGAATCCGGAGGGATTCTATAACAGAAGCGACTATGACTTGGAGTTTGCACCGAAAGGGCGTATCAGGAAAACGGAGCCAAGAAAATTGGCTTGGTAATACTTGAAACATTAACCGAAACTTTATGACAGGTTTTAAAATGAAATTCAAAAAATCTGTTTCGGCAAATCATCGGAAAGTGCTTTTCTATTACATCCTGAAGCATTTATAAGGTCACGAAATATACTTTTAAGAATGTTTTACTCCTGTACTCTTTTACGACGATCAAAGCAGGGCAAAAACGAAAAACAAACTATTAATAAGAATCAACCTATTTACTTCCAAACTTATTTAAATTCTTTTAAGTTCAAGACTGGAGAGGTGCAAAAATCGAAAATGAAATATATATGAAAAATGTGGTTATGAAGTGTTGCGATTCAGAAACTGCACCCTGAGTACTTAGGCTTAACAGTATTATGAATCTTGTATATCTACTGATATTCTAATTTACAAAAACCAAAAATCTCTGTATTCCGTGAGTGTACAAGGTACTTCTAAATACTCCAGATACTTTTCTATGTTGTATATAAAATCTATGCAATAGGAAAGCTCCTATGAAATATGGATCTGAAAATTAATTATGAGTTTACAATAACCAATTAAAAAAAGAACAACTAGTTATCTTGTAAATCTTGTTAAATTATTGTTGTTCAACTTGTTCAGCCGAATTTCTCCATAATGTTTTTCATTTAATTAACAATTTTATACTGCATAGATGAATGAATCTTCTAGTATTATTTAGTATTAATATATGCTCGAATAGTTTTTTATACCAGCTATAACATGCGCTATATGACTTTTATATTGTCATATGATTTTGTCTTTATTACATAATTAAAACGGCATTGCTGTTTCCAACTCCCGGAAGATTCATGCTTTTTAGTAATACGTAATACGTAGATATGGATGATTCTCAGGGTGCTCGCGGACTCATTTTTCTCATTCATATTCAGTATATTTTCGACTGCTCATTTCTTTTTTTTTCTTTTTTTTATATAGAAACAGCCGCCTAAATGCCGGAACACCGCGGCTGCTATGGTGATCCCAAAGAATTTTTGTTAATACGATTTTTGAACTGCCTAAGGTTAGTAGAACTGGGAAAAGCTTCCTCCCGTAGATTTTTCCACACTCTCGACACCCTCGGGAAAAAGGAGCGGTCGTATCGGCCAGTTCTGGATGTACGAAGTTCGCCACGGCTAGGATCTGGTAATTTTCTTCCAAAATGCTCTCTTTTCTCACTATTTCGAAATATTTCATAAACAGTGAGCCATCTAGATGTTCAAGTTCATTATGTTCCAGTCAAGTCGAACAAACTATATTTGGTGAGAGCGATCTTTGTTTAAAGCTTCTTGAGCATTTTAATTCATACCATTGACGTAAGTATCCAGAGGGTTCCGGCATGTGAAAAATGTCCATTAAGGATATCCAAGGTTACTGTTTTTTGAGTACTTCAACCAAACTGAAACGTGGAAATTAATGCTCAGTTGCTGGGTGTTAGTTTATTATTTTTTATTATTACCTCTAGATCCTTACGAAGTCACAAATTATTTCTCGGAGTTCTTCAAGCTTGAAAGCATGAACGTAAAAAAATTGAAATATTATATATATATATATATATATATATAAAGCTTCCGCCTTTTGTTGGGTACTTCGACAAAATTCAAGCAAAGGACTCTTTATACTTTATTAATCTCTAGCTGCAATAACATTGACAAGAAATAGCAACTATAGCGCAAAATAATTTTAAATTAATTATAGTCGTATGTGAGATTGTTAGGTTGAGGGAAACAACCAGTAACCTGGTGAATGCTGGATACATGGTACATTTGTCAAAGTTAATATAAACTACACACAGCTGTATGTCAGGAACAAATTAAAACGGATTAAAAATATTTAAAAACAAAAGTTAAAATTACATCGTTTTTAAATATTTTTAATCCGTTTTAATTTGTTCCTGACATGCAGCTGTGTGTATTTTATACTAATTTTTAACGAATGTACCATGGATCCAGCTTTCACCAGGTTACTAAATGTTTCCCTCAACTTAACCATTTAACAACAATCTCACATACTATTGTAAGTAATTTAAAATCATTTTGCACAATAGTTGCTATTTCTTCTTAATTTTATTGCAGCTCCTGATGATGATGGCATAGTCCATTGAAAGCTAGAGATTAATAAAGTATAAAGAATCCTCTTTGCTTGAATTTTGTCGAAGTACCCAACAAAAGGCGGAAGCTTTATTTTTCACAAAACACAAATACAATCTGGGAAAATCTATTTACGGGATGTTATACATGACATTTGGGGGCACATTTCTAAAATACTGGCCATTATACAGTGTGTCCCAATTTCGAACTACATATCAAAGTTGTGATTTTTCAAATAGAATGCCTCAAATTTTATTGAATTTTTGGATAAACCAATTCAAAAGAAGAAAATTTATATAACCTACTATGGCGTTTTGGTAATTAGCTACTGAGATATAAGGTGTTTTGTCTAGAAAAACCTCCCACTTCAAAATAGTATATTAAAAGTATCACGCATCTATGCTTCACATCGTCTGAAAAGTGTGTCCAATAAAGATATGTCTTCCATAAAATGGCCGGCAAAGCGATGTTGTTTCTAGGAGGAGATCTCGGCAGGTGAACGGCCGGATAAGTTGGCGAACATCCAACGGCGACAAATTACACGAAAAAATGTGGAGAATAATCGCTGCTGGTGAGGTGTCAGGTGGACCAATTCAGATACAGTATATTTTATTCATGAGACATAAAAGTAACGTCCTATCATTTTTGTGATTTATTATGTTTTGGGGACAGATGAGAGAGCGAAAAAATTGGTGCTCAAGCTTAGAGCAGTATTTTAAAATAGGAGTGCATTTTTGAAAACGATTAAATTACATTATACAGAAAAGTAAACGTTATGGTAGTCATTATTGAAATGGGTAATAGGGGGGTCAAAACAAGTCAAAAAGTTCATACGACCCTTGCTCCAAAAGTCAATAGATTTTTGTCTAAATGGCTTTATAGTTTACAACTTTAAGTGCTTTTATCGACCACAATCTTACTAATTTTCATAATCTAATCTAAAAAGTTTTTAAATTGGATAATTAACAAATAAATGGCACTAAGTTTTTTTGAGTTAAGCCAAAATTTGCAGTCAGTAAGTAAGTAAGTTTCATTAAATTAAATATTGAAAACACACATGACAACAGCGCGTCGGTCTTTCATCACTCTTATCGAACCGGCAATCGATCGCAAACGGTAACAGTGGTTAGTTATCGTTTTGCATGGATAAATTACTTTATCGTTTTGTCGAGCAGAGTTCGCCGATATGTTGTTAGTTTACGGTGAAGCTCGTCAGAATTCAAATCTTGCAGCTCAAATTTATCGCGACCGATTTCGTTACAGACCTTAGACAACATGCCATTACAACGGATACAGCATTTGTGGTTTCTTCATGACAGGCCACCACCACACATTTTTAGAGGCGTCATTCAGTATTTGAATGCACATTATCCAAATCGCTGGATCGGTCGAAATGCTCCTGATCCTCGAAAAGGGCCAGCAAGATCTCCTGACCTCAATCCGATGGATTTCTGGTATTGGGGAGAACTTAATGGATAGTTTATGGTTCTGGTCCAATAACAACTGAAGCACAAGTTCTCGAAAATAAAATTAATTCGGCTGAAATAATAAATGGACAACTTCGAGGACATAGAGTAAGAAGAAACTGGGTTCGTCGTAATGAAGCTTGTGTGGAAAGTGGAGGACGACATTTTGAATACCTTCTTTAAATACAAAAAAAGTGCAGTGTGGGTTTTAAAATGAAAAACAATGTATGTATCAAAATTGTGTTCGCTATTTATAATTGTTTTTTTTAATACGTTCTCTAAAAAAATGCCGTTTTGACCCCCATGTTATATGAAACTTTTTGCTTCTTTTAACCCCTTCTATCACCCATTTAAATAATGACTATCATAACGTTTACACCCTGTATGCTATAAAAGTCAGTCCTGGGAAATCTTTATCCGACTGCCTCAGAAGGGAGCCAAATGGCTTAATGGATATATATTAGATGTTGTTAGATTCTTCTTACAAGTGCAGCTGGCACTGGCAATTGAAATTTTGTAAAAACAAAATGGCGGATTTATATAAAAAAGTCAACCCTGATTTTGACAAATCAGGTCTTTAGATTGATCGTTCCAATATACCAAATTTTTATCAAATCAGAATGACAGATTTCAAGCGCAGACTTCGAAATTTTTATTTCACGGGCTACAAACGGCTGATGGATTTTGACATTTGAGGTGTTTAGATTCGTCTTGATAGCACAATTGAATCTTATTATTTTCAATTACTGCAGCCCAGTTATTCGTATTTTTTAAAAATGTTCAATTGAAAATTTGACTGGCACGTCAGAAAAAACGAGTGATTCATTTTTTATTTTTATGGATTCGACAAATTACCTTAGAAATATGAGAAATAAATGTTCCTGTTGATTGAGGTATCAGGTAGACCAAATTAGACACGGAATATTTTATTCATGAGACATAAAAAGTCTGATTTATTATGTTTGGGAACTTGATGAGATATTAAAAAAAGTGGTGCACAATTCTGTAACGGAATTTTGGAATTTAAATGTTGTTCTCCTTTCCATATATAAAGTAAATGTTAGCACTGAGAAATCCGACTTGAAACATTATTTTTCC